AGCAGCAGGACTTCTCCCAGCAGTGCTTGTTTGCTCCTCAAAACCAGTGGAGAGGTTAGCCCTGAGCATGCAGAGGGCAGCAATGGAAGCAAACGTGACTTCCAGTGCACCCAGTCGTGGCTGCTCAGTGGCAAACCTACAGCCAGATCTTTTCTGAGGTGGGGGCTCTGCTCACAGGGGAAATCACTGATTTAGCCTGTAAAAGAAATCTCCACATGGACAACTTTAAACGAAGCATGAAAATTGCTGATGAATCTTGACTGGTGCTTTGTGCCTGCTGCCCCCTGCAGCATCCTGGTGTTGTGGTGGCACGCACCAGAGCACGCCTTCATTTCAAAACCACCAAATTGTTATCTTCAGGTCTGTATTTTTGGATAAGTATCTGCTCTGTGTACCTATTCTGACAGAGTTATTTTTACTTGTTAGAACAACCATTTTTTGGTGCACTGTTATATTTATTACTTCTTTCCTTCATGGCTTAATGATAAGAAAAGATAACTCTGGTTCTGGCAAGAAGCATTGTTTTTCTGCTTTAAATAATGATAGTATTTTAATAGCTGCAGATAAAGGATTAGCACTTGGGCTTGGCAAAGACCTGCTTTTACTGCTTGAAATAGTCTGGAGTGTGCGTTTGGAGTGGGCAAGTTGCCACTGGAAAGGATTTGTACCCACCCAAAGGAACAAAGCCCAGCTATTTTTACTCCTGGGATAAAATGGGACGGGGCAGAAAAGCTTATCTCGGACAGGTTTTGGGTGACCGCAGCTCACTGGGGCACGGCGCCTGGCCGGCTGCTCCTGTTGTGTGGGGCAGGTCTTGGGGCAGAGCCAGGGGCAGCAGTGACCCTTCCCGGTGGGACCATCCCTGGGCTCCTGTCGGGTGCGAGGGGCACGGAGGTGGCTGCTGGTGAGCGGTGGCACGGGGGGGGCGAGCAGTGCTGGGAGCCTGGCGGGGAGGGAGCGCGTCCCCTTTGCTCTGGGGGCAGAGAGCATCCGTGACACCTTGCAGCGTTGCTCAGGCAGCAGAGGGAGGTGTGAGGGAGGAGACATCAGTTGTGTGATGGGGTAAGAATTGAGGATTACGGGGCTGCTTCAAAGCCTACAAACCTCTGGGCAGCTTTCTGTCAGCTGGAACTACATCAGGCCCCATCTGACAGGAGGAAAACAAGATCCAATTTATACTAAATTGGATCAAAAGTACTAACATCTGAAATTGAAAACCTGCTCATGCAGTAAGTGTTTCACATGACCGCACAAGGAAGTGAAGAACTTTAGGAAACACAGAAGAAAAAAAAAGCCAGAAATGTCACTAGGGTGTCCAGAGAGGTTTTGGACAGATGCTGCTGTGTTGGTGTCCCTTTGTACCACCTGCTGCTGCCGACTTTTATTTACTGAAAGCCTGCATGCTCGCAGCAGCAGTAACAAGCGTGTCCATCGCTTTGCACGTGGCCTTCAGTTCTGAGCTGCTGCTTGCTTTCCAGGTGCATGTGGCTGACACAGATGTACCCATGAAACACTGCTTGTGTCTCCAGAATCTGCTCTCAGGTTAGCAAGTACCTAATAATTACACCAGAAGAAATTTAACACCAAGAGCTGTGGGCACGTGGAGCTTCAGGCGGTGCCGTGTGGGTGCGCAGGCAGCTCCCCCTCCGCAGCCAAGCAGTGCCTCGAGCCCACAGTCGGTGTTGTGCCTCCTCCTCTGGAGAAGGTACCATGCCTTGCACCACTGGGCTTCTAGGGGCTGCAGGACATGCGGTCTCCACAATTTCCAGCATCTTCCTCTCCAGTGGGTCTTCACTTCGGGAAGCCAGCACGGTCTGTGTGGGCTGCTTGGCACTTTCCTTCCAGGCAAGATTTTGCTTTGTCCAGCTTCGACATTAATTCATTATTTCCCAACATCTGTGTTGTTTGTTAGAGGGGAGTGGCTCAGGGGGGCTGGGTTTCATTGCTGCCAGCACAGAATTCACAGAAAACGGTGTATTGCAGGGGAGATTGAGAGGACAGGACCATCTTGGTTCCTAACCTTTGAAAATGGAACAAGACGTGAAAGCAGACAGTAAGTAAAGCTAAAAGAAATAGATTGCATGCCATGCCAATGAGTTCCTCTATTAATTGTATTCAGTTGTACTTCTTAACATATTCCTAAAATGTGTTTTCAAGCAATATGTTAAAAATTAACTGTTTTGAGAAGGGAACTCCTCTTCCACCAAATGTCAGTGTGCGCTCTCCCAGGCAGTGCTTGTGGAGAGGGTCAGCGCATCTCTTGTGCCATGTCTGTGAGCTACAGGTGTTGCTGCTCACTTAAGTCCAATGAAAAGCCTAAGCTGAGGCTTGTTATCTTTTAACAGAATGCTGCTTAATCAAAATATCTCTCGTGATGGTGCTTTGATCTTATGCCCTTGACTATATCTTCTTCATTAGATGTTAATACGGTTCCTGAAGAAACTCTAATTATGTGGTGCCCCAGTGAAATATCACTGTCACTGTTGCTGCTGAAAAGTAATTGAGTTCTGAGGCTCCTTAATTTATGAATGAGAAAAGCTTTGATTAGCTTTAGAAATAATAATGCTGCAGGAAGTTTCTGTTTAATCAGATGGAAAAAAAAATTATTCACTGTGGTCCTGGGGGTGCTGCACGCAAGGCTGACTTCCCGCTCCAACAGCCAACTAGTCAGAAGCGAGTGAAGTGATTTATGGCGACGAAAACTGCAGGGTAACCGACAGATTTTGCCAAAGACTGAACTCTCCCAGACTTTTTGGCTGTGGGTTCTATCCAAAATCCACCAAAAATGGTGTCAGTGGGCTCAGGGTCAGTCACTGCTGGCCAGCTGCAGCGTTTGCAGTCCCTGTGGCTGCCTGGAGGCTGGGAAGAGCAGCGTGGCCTTGTGCTGTGCCCTTCTGCGGGCGTTCTGCCGGCTGTTTGGTGCATTAGGGCTGGATCGCCGTGATGCGGAGCAAAACCGGGAGTATCTGATGAGTAGCAGCCGAAGCGCTGAATCTCCTGGCTTTGGTCAAAATCCGTCTCAGACTTATTGTTGTTTCGAAGTGGAGCGATGTGTTCATGTTTATACACTATTGTGATTTCCAACATCATCACCGTAGCAACAACCCTGCTGTTGACTTATTTGCTCCAGATTTGGGATATTTTTAACCAGGTCATTTAAACCATTCCCATTGGGCTGGAATTTGGTGCTTATCTCCATCTTTTGTTGTAAACAGGTTTTAATTTAACCTTTTTGCATTAAAAATAAGTGTTCAGGTTCTCTTCAGAATGTGCATAGAAATCCAGTACGTCTTGGAACTATCAGAAAGGATTTGCTCTGATAGTTCAAATAAGAACCTGGGAGTTCACCCTTCTGGGATGTTTCTCTGCAACACACCAGGAAGCACACATCTTCCTTGTGCCTCCTGCACCAGGCACGCTGAGCACGGCACTCACCCACAGCAGGGCTGTGCCCATCTGAATGAGCCCAGGAGAAAAAGGTGTGTAAAAGCTGCATTTTCTGAATGAGAAATTCACAAGACTTTCAGTAATATTTGCGTTTCCTTTTCCTTGTGAGTACAACTCTGTGCAGCTGTACCAAGCCACCACCAACGCAGCACCAGAGCAGAGGGTCAGGCGAGGTGCCTCTGCTGGGAACGCTCCCACCCTGGGGCATGGAGGACAAAGCACAGCCGGAGCTTTGGCTTGCTGCGAAGCACAGGCTGTGAGCTGGGTGGCCGGGGAGTCCACAGCACTGGGAGATGCTTTATCCATGCCTTAGGAAGATGTTTGTGTTTGATCTAGACATGGCCAAGACAGTCACACTGAAGGCACCTTACTGATTGATTTTTTTCAAGGCGCCTCTCTGCAGTGCTTATCTCTGAAACCTGTGCTCCTGCAGCTGAGGGGCAGCCTTGTCTTCTGCACGAGCAGCGTGGCGTTTCAAGTGGAGCGTGTAGTTTCTTATTTTTGTCAGGAGAAATAACTGGGGAGATTAATTTAGCCTCCTGGAAGGAAGGGGAATGCTCTCAGAGGAGCCCAGTAAATCAAGTTGATGGAAGGCTCCCCTCAGCCCCGCTTTGTGCAGCTCCCATCGCTGGTTGTTGCTGCCCTGGCATTTCCTGGCCCTTCCACACGCTCCCTGCACACCCAGCCTGACTTTCATCACCAGCTGCTGTGATAGGAAGGGCCGCTGGAAAAAAAGGCTCAATAAAAAGAATTGTTTCTGTATCAGGAACCAGGAGCACCGATTGTTAGCAGCGGCTATTTTTGGAGTGGTACTCAGGGAAACAAACCCCGCAAACAGAACTGAAGCGAGCTGGAAACTTTTAGAGAAGGCAGCGGCTGGAGGAGCAGACACTGCTCGAGGGGAAGGCAGGGATGCTGCGTGCGGCTCCCGGCCCTCAGCCACCCGCGGGGTGTCAGCATTGCTCCACCTCAGCGCGGGGGCACGACGGCAAATCCCTGCTGAAATTCCTGCCGAAATCCCTCCCTCAATCCCTGCCGAAATCCCTGCCGCATCTCCTCCTGCGGCCATCGGTGCGCGCAGCCCCAGGACCCCCCGGTGCGCACTGCTGCAGCCTCAGGGGGGGCTCAGCTCCGGCCCCCGGGCTGCTTTTCTCCTCCCGAGTGCCTGTTCCTGGCTCGTTGCTGTCCCGCAGGCAGGTTTTGGAAAGCAGTCTGCCCGCTGTGAGGTGGGGGGCTGTCTGCTGGGCTGGCCCCCAGGCCCCCATCCCTGCTGAGCGCAGGGCTGGGACCCAGCGCAGCCCCCAGCACAGCCTGCTGGGGGCACCCGGAGCATCCCAGTGCGTGGCTGGGGCAGCACTGGGATGAGCCAGGATGTCACTGGGATGAACTGGGCTGGCCACAGCTCCTGGCAGTGGTGCAGGGGGCTTGGTGTGCAGTGAGCTGCTGTCCTGGGAGCAGCTTTGGCTTCCACACCTAAATCTTAGCACGTTACTGAGCAAACTCTGCCTTCAGTTTCAGTTGGGTTTGAGTTTCTCCATATTCCTTTCCTGTAGGAGCCAAGCCAGTGCCACCACCTCTGGGCCTGCCGGGTGAGCTCGGGCAGCAGAGGATCAGCCCCCCCTTCCCACAGCCCAGGTAAGCACTGGGGAGGTCACATTTTAAACAATTCCCTCGGCCCCAGAGCAGGGGAGCTGCTGGTGGTGCCCGAGCCCCTGGAGCCATCAGCATCACACAGCCCTGCCCCTGAGTTTTCTTTGGAACACCAGTGGTCAGCCTTTCTCTGAGGCAGGGCAAAACTCCCCGAGTTTTCTTTGGAACACCAGTGGTCAGCCTTTCTCTCGGGGCTTGGCTATTCTGCTTTTATGTTCTGTTTATTATCTCTTTTCCTCTTCTGATTTTCATCTTGAATTTCAAACAAAACCCAACCCTTTTCTTCTGCACGTAGAAAAAGAGCAAAAAGAGACACCATGAAAAGCAGCATTTGATCCAAAGTAACGTAGGGTGGTGGGAGTCTGCTCCTGCTGCTGTCCTTGTGCACAGAGGTTGGGACTGGATAGCTGGTGGCGTTACATTGCTCAGCCAGAATGAGATGGGTCCCCGTGGGGCAGTGCCGTGACACCCTGCTGCTGCCGTGACTGCTGGCAGGGGAGCTGTGGGTTCACGGCTTGCAGAGCCACGGTGTTGCTTTGAACTCGGTCTCCTTAGTGCAGCCTGCTGAAGGGCAGGGTTTGTGCTCACAGTGTTTGCTTTGGACCCCTCTTTCCTAATGGCCTTAGTGATATTGCATGAAAGTATTTTTAGGAGCAGAAATCTTTCTCTTTTGGAAGAAGAAAGGTGCCAGCAGTGGTTGTGTGGAGGGTGTGGGTGCTCTCCTTAGGTCACGTTTGCAGTAAGCTAAATGCCCCGACTGTTTCCAGGCCTGTAGAGCAAGTGCAGAGCAGAAACCCATCGGTGTTGGTTCCTCGCGGTGTCCCCCCGCTGACGGAGGCGGCGGCCAGGACAGCCCTGCTGCGCTTCGTGGCCACCAGGCACTGCTACGGGAGCAGAGCGGCGGCGGAGCTGCACATCCAGGAGCTGCGCCCGCGCGTCACCTACCGGGTGAGGACACCCAGGGGGCCTCTTGGGGCGCCTCTTCTGAGCATGGGGCAGTGTCCAACCACCTGGTGACTTTGGGCTGTGAGGAATTGTCTGGTCATTACATAAAAGTGCTTTCACCCTGCTTTGAAGGCAGTCACATCTGTGCTTTCCAAGGAGAATCTACCCAGGAGCTGCCTGCGAGCTTCCTAGCTGAAAGGTCCACATCCCTGCACAGTACAGCATCACCTTGGCAAAGCCCTGCAGACCTGCTTCCACAGCTCAGCTTTGCAAAAGGCAGCAGTTCCCTTAGCTAGACGGGAGGGACGTGCTCTGCAGCTTGTTTCTTTGGCCACACGCGAGCACGGAGTGAACTGCAGTGCCCTGCGTGCCCCCAGCTGTGAATGTGTCTTTGCAATATTTAATTCCACAGAAAACATGTGGCATTTCATTCTCTATTGTCACTCCTCTCACTGGAAACATTTCTGGCAGACTTTGTGCCTGCTGCCCGTAACAGCTGGCCTTGGCTCAGCCTTGCTTTGGGCGAGTCGCTGCCCCCAGGGCAGTGCCCAGCCAGCAGCATTTCGGTCCCAGTGCCACGGCGCCGTGCTGCCGCTGCCTGGGCTGCTCTCGGGGGGGGGGTGTGGGTGCTGTGTCCCCTCCCCGCTGGCTCTTTGGGGTGTTAGAAGTGGGTAACGGATGAGCAGTGAGAAGCAGGGCGTTGGGAGTGCCCTCTGACAGGCGCTTTGGGGCAGATGTTCTCCCACACTCGCAAGTCGTGGTTACAATACCTGCTTTATACAAGGTGTCCCTGTGGCCTCTGCGTGATTTTTTCTCTTCTAGTATCGACTGGAGACGTTCAGTGAATCGCGGTTAAGCGAGTGGGCGTTTGAGCCCTTCACCAGTAAGTGCCTGCCCTCTGTCCATCGGGAATAGCCCAAATGGGCAATGATGACCCCTGGCCATGGTGGCAGGAGGACGCTCAGCACCTCGGGGTGCCCATGGCACGGACCCGCAGAGGGATGGGATGGGGATGGGGCTGGAGATGGGAGTGGGGACAGGGACAAGGGACGATGTCGGTCGGTCCCCAGCAGTGCTGGGAGCTGGCCTGCATCCAAGCACTGCCTCCAGCCAGCCAGGTAAGATGCCGTCCCCTCTGCAGAGCCCGGAGCATCCAGACCCCCTGGGGACATCCCTCCAGACCTCTGGGACGTGGAGGTGGGGGTCCCCCCGCTCTTCCAGGGCCAGACACGGCGCTGCCGGGTGCCCCGCTCGGCGCTGGTCAGGGTGAGTCCTGCTCCTCGGGGAGCACATCCCTGCCGCGGCACCCTCAGCTCTGCCTGACACTGGTGGGCGCCAGGCTTCAGCTTTCCACTTCCCAATTTTTCTGCACTAAATGCCTGGGAAAATAGTCAGAGATTCCTTCTTCCTCGTGTTTTCTTCTTCTAGAAGTTTGAGGGCAAATTTTGCTTCAGCCTCTTCAAGAAACAGCGCTAGATGATTTTTCCCCTTTTTGTTAATTTTTTTCCCACATTAGCAGAACGTTTGTTTCCATGACAGTTCCCATTTAGCTCTTGACAAGCTTATAGCTGGTCAATTTATTTTACTTTTTAGTGAAACTATGAATAAAGAAAAAAATGACTTCCTTTTGCCAGCATTACATAGACATTTGCCTTTGTTAAATAATTATTATTTATGGCTCCTTTAGTGCTCTTACAGCACAATTTTATGGTATTGGGTTCTGTCCCATTAAGACCAGAATGTTATCACTGAATTTTGATGCAGGAGGAGTGCGTGTGCATAATATGAGATGTCTGAAACCCGGGCAGCTTTGTGCATGAGTAACTCTCTGATTTCAGGAGTGTCACAGATGCCACGGTCGTGGCCGATCGCAGTGCGGCGCGTGCCACGGTGCGGGCCGGGTAAGGAGCTGTGGCAGCTTCCACCAGGAGCTCTGCCTTTCTGTCTGCTTTGCTTGGGTTTTGTTTGTGAAACGGCAACATGCAAACACTTACTCTGAGGTGAGGAGCCTGAGGGGCAGTCCTGCCTCGCTCCTGTTTGCTGCCCCTGGGGATGGGGCTCCGCGGTGTCCCAGCGGTGTCACCAGGTCCCTGTGGAGATGTGAGCGGGACCATCCTAACCCTGCTCGGCCACCAGAGGAGGTGGTTTTGCTTCTGCACTGCTGACATGAGCTCAGATCTCAGGCATGAAGTACAGCGCGTTGCTTGCTGCCTTCAGATGCGCTCAGCTCCGTGTTTGGGGCTCCCGAATGGAAGGGAAGGCTGAACCCAGGGTGCAAGGGCAGCTGCAGACCTGGCCTCCTCTTTGTGCTTGTTCTGCTACACAGATATTTGCAAAGACAGCCCAAAGATGTATCGTTATTGCACTAAAATTGCTGCTTAATTAATCAGATTAAATAGTAGTAAATAAAAGCGCATTGCTAACAACGTGAATAAATACCAGCGGAAAATTCCGTCTGCAAGAAAGGAGGCATTTCAGCCCAGATCGTGTGTCCAATTTACATCACTGGTTAATTTGACCGAAACACCTAATTAATCCGGAGGCACAATATATGAGCTGTTTCGTACGCTCTCTTCACTGCAAGGTACGTGCTTGGCTTAATGCATTTCTCCGTGAGCCCGAATTAGCGATTATTCCAATAACGTACCTAAAAGCTTTTTGTTGCTGCGCCCGCCACGGTTTTGTTCTGGCAGCCAGCTCCTGTTTAATGCCTCGGTGTGTTCGCAGGCGAGGTGTGTGACGTGCAGGGGGTCCCGGCGGAGGCTGAAGCAGCAGAAGAGGTGCCAGCTCTGCTCCGGCACGGGCCGCAGCAGGTAGGGGCTGCTGCGGGAGGCGCCTCGTGGCACTGCCCGGGCACGCGGAGATGTCTGCGTGCTTTGTTTGTCCTGCTGCCACGAGGATCACCTGAAAGAAAAGGCAATGTGGCAATAGCTCTATTCTCCAGGAAAAATGGTTAGAAAGAGCCCCTTTTTCCCTCTAACTTCCAAATGACTTTGTTTGAACACCTACTGTTCACTCTGTGCGTCCCACTCAGCATTCGGCAGCCTGGCTGGTATCCCAAACTCATGAGGTAACATCTTAGGCTTTTTGAAAATATTAATTTTTTGTCTCTCCATTCTCCCAATTTTGTTACCGTTCTGTTACAAGGCTGTTGCATTTCCCAGCTCCTCTGGGATGCTGGAAAAAGCTCTGGCTTTTCCAGGGGGAGCAGGGTTTCTCAGAAACAAGGCTCTGAGGACACTGGGGTGTCCCTGCTGCCCGCAGCCCCGGCAGGCTCAGGACAGCTGGCGGCGAGGGGTGCGGGTGCAGGGCAGGATCCAGCACTCGGGAGAGCTCTCCGATGCCCACGGATGCCAGCAGAAGACTTTTTGCTGATTTTTGCAGGCTGGGCTTTAGGTCCCGTTTCGGCAGCACATCATTCCGGGTTTGGCAGGTTTTACAGCTGGAGAATTACCACCCTATTGTTTTTCCAAACATGAAACTTAATAGGCTTAAAAATGATCCTTAAGCGACACAAGAGAAGGTGCTGTGCCGGAGCTGTTCTGTTTACGTGGCTCCATTAAGTTTAAAGTAACAGCGATGGTATCGCGCATAATCGTGGCAGTCATTTTAAAGCACGAATCCACCGGGGCTAATGATGGCTGGAAGAGCCTTAATGAATCAGTCGCTAAGTGCTGCTAATCACGTTGCACGGTGCCATCCAAATGCTCGGCGCAGCAGCAGATGCCTCCCGTGTCTGGCAGAGGCACAGGCAGCAGCGCCTTCGCAGGGACACTCCCTTCTTAGCACCAAGTGGGGAAATTGTGCTTATCCTTAATTAGAGTTACAAATACATCCTTAGACAAGCTCCCCATTTACAGACAGCTGTGTGGATGGCCTTCCCTGTCCCTGGGCCACAGCCCCGGGGAGCTGTGGGGAGCCACAGGCAGTGGCTGGTGGTGCTCAGGGCTCGTCCTGTGCCCAGCAGCCCCATCCCCAGCCCTGCAGCCCCTGTCGTTGCCTCCAAGGTGCAGCACCTGCTCCGGCCGGGGCAGCAAGACGTGCACAACGTGCCAGGGAGAGAAAAAGCTCCGGCACTTCAGGCAGCTGGTGATAACCTGGTAAGCAGCACGGGTTCATGGCTGTTAATTTTATTCCTTGTTTTCCTGCAAGGCTTTGAAGCTCGGCTTGCTTTGTAGGAGGAAGCCAAGACAAGATTTATTGGCACTGGTCAGGCAGGAACGGGGGCTGAGAGGGTCAGGTTTAGCTTTTAATGGTGCTGGTCATTTCTCTCCATGGGTACCGAACTCTCACAGCCCAGACCCAAAGCTCGGGCAGCTGAGGATGCCAGAGGTGATGGGGGCAGTGGCTGAGCTCCTTTTCCTGGGGTTTTAGCGGTGGCACGAGGCTGATGGCTGTGTTGCAGCCCTGGTACTTCCCATTTGGTGCCAGAGATAGCAGATGGGGCTAAACAAATCTTAGCTTGAGAGGTTTGGTTGAAAGCCCTACCTGCTGCTTTGGGTGCGTCCTAACCACTTTCCCATCTTTTTACAAAATGCCTCCAGTTACCCTGTGTGAAGACCTTCCCTCCCCTGATTTTGGGATTATTTATCCAAGAGTCACCCATGGTTGTTGCATATACAGGGTTATTGAGGAGCTAACACCGGAGGGCACAAAGGTTGGGCAGAGATGGTTGCTGTCCTCAGGAACCAGGGAGTGCTCGAGCATTTCTCAGGCATTCAGGATTTGGGAGATGGGTCGGTGCCCTGCACACAACCTCTGATCGCTCGCTGGTTTTCCCTCGCTCTTGCAGGAGGAACAACGTTTTTGAATTTGTTTCTGAGCATCACCCAAACTTCCCAGGGGAGCTGCTCAGCAAAGTCAGTGGCGAGAACATATTCCAAGATGAAAACGTGGTGGTGAGTGTGAGTGCGGGGAGGCGATCCCTCCCTGGGTGCTGCGGGGACGGGTGGCCCGCAGGTAGTGCAGGGCATCCTCGGCTCCCTCCTGGGACCTGGCCTCGCTGGGTTTTCTGCCCGACAAAAGAGGACCGAGCCAGGCCCATATACCTGCAAAAGCCCGGGGGAGTTATTTATTATTGGCTGGCAGGAACCGGTGGAAATTTCAGCCATGTACCAGGAGCTGGAGCCAGGCACAGACTGCCTCTCTCCCAGAGCTGTTACTCAGTGTCAGGCATCTGTAGTGAACACTTTGCATCTGGTGCTGCTGAGTCCCTCGGGGTCTGAACGATGCTTTAGCATCTGACTCATTCTTCTGTGAGTGTTTTAGATCCGAAGTTCTGTGAGTGCTGAGGTCTGTGGGGCTGTAAGGCAGACGGCTATCACTCACGCTGTGAGAGAAGTAGCTGCATTCCCGACTAATTCTGCTTTTGCCCATAAGCCAAATATTTCTTCTGTCCGCATAGTGGGGTAAACAGAGAGGCTTAAAAAACCCTCTCAGACTTAACAGTGCTGCGCTACTGGAAAAAGGTGATGGTGAGGCCTCTTAGGGCATCTTTCCTGTCCCCCAGTGCCTGCCTCCAGCCAGGGCTGTCAGCCCAGGAGCAGCACCTTCCCTGGCACGCTGTTGGGTTTATTTCCTGCAGGTGTGCCCCATCGTCGACTTCCCCGAGCCTGCCATCTCCCGGGCCTCGCGGCGTGCCATCGCCGAGCACAGCGCGGCGTTTGCCAGCTCGTCCCGCATCCTGCGGCAGGTAAAGGGGGGCCTGGGGCTGCCAGGCTGGCACCACGGGGAGCTCACAGGTCGTGCCCAGCGGTGCCAGCCCCTGAGGAGTGGTAACAGCATGGGGCCGGGTTGCCATCCCCTCAGCATCCCCCCATCCCACGGGACACACCACGAGGAGGGTGCCCACCAGCCGGCCCTGGAAATTCAGCTAATTGTGTGGTTCAACTAATTATGGTCAGCCAGTGAGCGTGGCCAAACACAGCAGGACGTTGAGAGCAGTAACTGATTTCATTATTTATTTAGAGGTGACCTTTAGTGAATGAAAAAGAAATCATAATTACCAAGTGAAATACCCAGGAAATCATTTTACAAGAGCATATTCAAAGATGTAGGCAGTTGTGGCTATTATTTTCCCTTTTACCTTCCCGGAGCCCTGGCAAATGTTAGTTGTTATCACTATTTATATTTAGAAGCTATTTTTGAATAAACGTTAGGATTCCACTCATCTGATTCTTGCGAGAATGTGGCAATCGCTGTTGCTCCCATTATAAATGCAAATGCACAAGTTTAGCTAGAACATACTGTCTTTTCGCCCACAGGAAAGACAAGATTTCATGTTAAAAATGCAAGTAAATTGAAAGACCAAAATAAACTTAGGGGGAGATGGCTTGATTTTCCATGTGGTCTGTCAAAGCCATCTCTTTGGCAAATTTCTGTCTTCCAACTTAATTCTAGCCTGTAATTTCCAGTTCTCAGCATCAAAAGCAGTTTGTTCAGAGCCTGCTGCACACCCAAAGCCTCCTCTAGCTGTACAGGAAGGCAGGTGCCGAAAACCTCCCTCTGTGCCAAGTCCCCGGCACCACGTGGCATCTGTGTTGATCCGGGCTGCGTTCGGGGCGCTTCCCCACCAGTTAATGTTTCATCCCTTCCACTTGCTGTTGGCTGAAGTTCTGCTTAATAATCAGCATCTTTTGGAAAAAGATGAGGGAAGGAGGTATCTCCTCCTGCCTGGCTGGTGCTGTTCTGCTTTTTCCCAACACTGGCCGTGAAGTGGCTCGGGGGCACAGCACAGGGAAAATGTCCCCATGGGCAGGGACCACGCCAGGCCCCGCTTGCTGCGAGGGGAAGGCAGGCTTTGTGCCTTCTGTCATCATTCGGTTTCATGGGGCTCCTTTATTTGCGTTTTCTTTTAAGTTTGCCCAGAATCTGGTGGCATCATTGCCCTCACCGGGGTGTTTTCACTGCCAGACCATCCTGTGACTGCCCGCCCTGCCCCCAGCAGACACGGGGGACTTTCCCCCATGCCCCCCAGTGCCTGCTGGTGGCACCCTGCCTGCTGCCTGCCCTGGGCAAGGACGGGGGAATTGCCTCCACACGCAGCCCTCAAGCACACGAGGCAGGAGGATGCACTAACACACCAGGGCTTACTGGATTTAAGGAATTAGCTTAAAGAGCTGTAAATGCAATAAAAGTGGTGCAATATGGGCCAAAACATAATGGTGCTGCTGCTAGGGGAGCTTTCGGGAGCAGCCGTGATGGCTGCAGTGTTGGGCTCTTCCATCTCCACGGCTTTTTGGTTCCCCTTTGCTAAGCAGCCACTGTCTCAGCCCCAAAAGGCTTGCAGCCAAATGCTGGGGGTTTTGGGGCACATCGGCACACAGCACCAGCTCCAAGCACTGCTTGGCTAACTGAGGCTTCTCCGTTTCTTTTCCTAGCGTCAAACCGTCGAGCGAATCCCCATCACAGAAGTGCACTACCAGTACTTGGGGAAGCCTTACCTCTACTACATCTACGGGCTTGAAAACAAGGTGTACGCGCTGGACTACCCCGAGAGGTGCTGCTGTGGCTGCACCATCCTGTGAGGGCCCAGCGGGTGCTTTCCTGCCATGCAGCACAGGGCTGTGAGCCGCAGTGAGGCCATGCCACCCCCAAACTGCCGGCATCTCCCAGCCCTGACAGCCCCAGACCTCCCGCTGGGTGCAGGATCAGGCCTTTGGGTAGAGATTTCCCCACTGGATGCTTCCCTTCCTTGCTGTAATGCTGTATCGTTAAAGCCATGCCTATTGACAGAGACATTTTCAGTCCAGCCACGCCATTTCTGACTGTCGCCTTTCTTCCCCTGTTTTATTTATCAGATTTCCCGAGTTACTACATAATCCATAATGATATGTTTCAGTATCTATCCAATTATCAAATCTAACTTCAAAGGATTTCACTTTAAAATACCCACTAACATCACCTGAGGGACGGTTCTGCCGATACAGAAGTTACTGTGTGAGGACACAGGGCTCTTGCTGCCTGGGCTGCATGCGGTGCCGGGGGCAGCACCCGCGGGGGGCCTCATCCAGCAATGCCATTGCCTCAGGTGCTGGCAGGAGGCAGTTCTGCCAGCACTTCTCATCCTTCTTGTTCTGTTTTAGCACCCATCTTGCCATGTTCCTCTTACAAAAGCCTGCAGGAGAACTGCGGATCTCTCTGGGTTTAAGGCTAAATCCAGCACTTGTTTGCAGTGTAAAGCTGGAGAAGATAAAGCAAACAGACCCTTGAAAAGTTCAGAAATGTGCAAGGAAACAGGAAGACACCAACACTTATAGTTAAAAAGAAAGCAAGCAACCCTCCTCTCCTCCTCCGTGATTTTTTCATAGTTCTCGTGCTGTTTGGGGGCCTAACGGAGGGTTTTTGTGTGGGTGGCACTGGCAGACCCTAACAGATTGCTGCATCAGATGGGGGTGTGCTGCCTGCACCCTGGCACTCTTGTTGTCTGTCACTGAGCTGACAGTTGAATTAGAACCTTATCACAGCAAATCAGCATGGGAAAAACACACTGAAGTTCTGGGAATCTTGTAAAAGATAAAGACCCACACTGTCAGCTTGAATGGGGACTGTGAGGGAGGGGAGGAATGCAAGGAAGACTGGGGAAAGGCATTTAACAGCTGACAGATTTTAAAACAAGTGAGTTGAAAATTACTTTGTAAAAGAAGTGTTTTCTAATGCTGCTTCTAAAAGAAAAGAAAAGAAAAAAAAATGTTTCTGGTAATGTGCAAACAGAGGAAATGAGTGCGTGAGGGGGAGAAGAGCTTTCCTGGCTTTGCCATGGGGGGAGAGACGTGGGCAGCCATGCAGATACTCGCCTGCTGTGGCCCCCCATGCAGCCATGCCAGCCCCGTGCCAGTGGTGTGATGCTGCCCCACACTGTCCCCAGCCCTGGAGCTAACCCAGGCAGCTCCGTGCCCCAGGCTGTGTGCAGGGGGGAGCCAGCCCAGAGCTGGTGCCAGCCCCTTGCAGGCCCACTTTTACCATGGGATTTTGCAAGCAGCAGCGCAATGCAGGTGTGCTCGGAGGAGCTGTGGGGACAGCGCTGCCTTTTAAAGCACACCTTTGGCTGTCTCCTTCTGCCTTGCCGCAGTCCCTCAGTTTTGCTTTGCTCCCCTGGGGTGGGAAGTGTTGGTAGGCTGCGTGTGCAGTCTCGGGCAGGTTTCGAAAGGGGGCTCGAGCATGCTGGCAGTACAACTGAGCACATGGCACTCTGTGTATGGCTGCCATTAACTGCAAATGGGACCTTGTGCTCGCGTAAAACACGCCGCACGAAAGCACGGCAGATGCACCACATCTGCACACCTCCCTCCAAGGGGCTGCGCAGCGCTGGTACTGCTCTGCAGGGGCCTCCTCTGCTGCCGCTGATTGCTCTGCAGCAAAAGCAAACACAGGCTCTAACAGCCTTGTTATTAAACCACATATTTAATAGGGTTTTGGTCCTTTTGTGTGTGTTAACTCTGGACTGGCTGCTTACCTACAACAAACCCAGGACAAGGGTGCCCGCAGCGTTGCACATTGCCAAGGGCATGATGTGAATTGTTAGGAAAAACAACAGTGAGCACACAAAGAGCCAGGAACGGCTCCTGCAGGTCAGGTAGCTGGGGCTCGCTGGGCTGCAGGGACCCTGAGCGTGTAGGTAGGACAGGATGGGGCAGCTCGCTCCAGCCTTGAGCCTCTGGGGGGGTGGTGGCTGGGCCAGCAGTGAAATGCATCCTGCAGCCACCCCACAGCCAGTCCTGTCCCTGAGGGCACAAACCGGGGACCCCGCACTTTGGGGAGACCACACAGCACCAGTAAGGCAAAGGGGAAAGAAAGGAGGGTGTTTTTCTTCTGACTCACAAACAGAGATGGACCAGACAGTTTGCATAAACTTTAGAAGCAATCCAAATAGCCTAAATAATCATCAGGCCGGATTCCTTCTGGACTGAGCAGTTGCTAATGGTTGTTCAGAAACAAATACAAAACCCACTTCGTCCTCATGCAGTCATTCCTGAAGCACGAGATAAACTTCATCCTCTTTGCTGCTGCCAGGGTGGAAAAGGGCAAACCGTGGTCCCTTAAGGAGCCGTGCCCTGATCCCACCATGATGGCCGGTGGGCAGAGGGACGGCTGCCCCGACATCCCCCGGCAGCAGTTCCCCTGCCAGGAGAGGCAGAGGCACTCCAAGCAGTCCAGGCCTTCAGCACCTGGTGGTTGTGAGATACTCCGACCTGCCTGCATCCTATGCCCAGGGAAAGTGCTGCAGCTACTGATATCTTACCTTGGCCAAAAGAGGGGCTTGGAGTAGCAGCACTGGGCAGCCCCGAGCCCTTCCTGCGCCCTGAGATTGTCCCCAGAGGGAACATCCCTGGAGGGAGCATCCCACAGGGAGCATCCCATAAGGAGCATCCCACAGGGAGCATCCCACAGGGAGCATCCCCAGGCGGGATTGCTGGCGGAGGACGGTCCCCACTGTCCGGGGCTGTCCTGGTCCCTGCGGACAGCCTCGGGGCACGAGCCTCCCCTGCCCCCGTCATGAAAACTTGGCCATTCCTGGCGTTTTTTTAATAGAACTTCAACTATATTTAGATCAAAAATAAATAAATTCTTGGCTTGAGGACAGTTTTAATGCCTGATGAATTACCAGAACTTCTTTCACAGGAAACTATAAAATTCCTCGGGGCGAGAGCTCGCCTCTACCCGAGCTAAGGCAAACAGCGCTCCGTGCTGCCGCCCCGCCTGCCAGCCTGTGCTCAGATGTCTTCACTAGCAGAGAGGCCTGGCTATTGCTGTTCATAACCACACCACTATGCTGGTTGTTAATGCCGCATGAGAACGAGGAAAGAAACTTGAACGTGAAGACTAAAAACCAACCCCAGCTGCCTCACGCAGGCCGGACCCCTGGCTCTGGCCTGGCAGCCTGTGCGAGAGGGGCGGCCCTGGGGTGCCTCGTCCCTGCCAGGGCTGCCAGGGCCTGCCATGAGCAAACCCTGAGGGCAGGGGAAGCGCCGGCTGCCCACCGAGCTCTCCTCTGGCCTGCTGGCACCGGCAGCACCCACCCGTACGGCTGTGTGCCGAAAGGCTTTTAACTCTAAAGGTGCTCCCAGCACCATGAGGGGTGTTACTGGTCCATATCCAGCCCCCGTTACCTCTTAATGGGCTTGCTGCCCATGAACTTGTGCCATCTGCTCCTGCCAGCCCCACGTGCCCCCACAGCCTCCCCGGTGAGAAGGGTGCAGGCCCGGCAGAGCTGCACATTTCCCTAAAGGCACTCAGCTTCCCCTGCTGCAGCACGTGTCTGCTGTGGGCCCATCTCCGCAAGGTGCAAACTCTGCCCGGTGAGGCCAGCCAAGGTTTCTCACTGCCGTCCCCACCCCTCAGTCTTTGAAGTTTTATAAAAAAGCTCAACCTTTCGACTAAACAGCCGGTAAATCATCCTAAATGCCATTTCATCCAACAAATACAAAGGCTTGGCCACAGCAGCTGCCCTTTAGGCTCGTGCTCTCGTGATCGTGGTGACAGAGCAGTGCAAAGCTGCCAAAGGCAGCAGGGCCGGGGTCTCCCACCGAAGGCTGCCGGCTCCCTCACGCTCCCCAGCGCCTGCCCAGGACCCCCAGGTCCTCCGGGGCCACCGCTGCTGCCCGGCCTCTGTCCCCTGCCCTCATGTGAGGGGCTGCGTGCTGCTCCCCCCTCCTTGGGCATCCGTCAGCTTCCTCCTCAAGTTTTTGCTTCCAGCACCTTTAAATCACCATTCCTTCTATCTGCTAGAGCAGCTCGCTGATTTAAGTTGAAAAGCCAAAAGCATACTGCAGAAACTCTTCGAAAAAACAGTATTTTCCCAGAAAAATATAATCTCCACTGCATTGATCTGTCCATCTATCTTAGCACAGAAATTCTTCACATACTGACCTCCTGACACAGCTCGTTTTTGTGGAGAAAACTGCCCCGAATTAGGTTGTTTTTCCTCTCTTCTTTCCGGATCCTGGAGGCTTTTTTTTTTTTTTTTTTTTTTTTTTTTTCAGCAGCCTGAGGCTGTGTGGGGCTCTCAACATGGTAATATCATATCTGTGTTTTGCTCTCCCTAATCATCAGCCCAACTCCCATTTTAGGACATATTTTCACTAAAATGCTGCCTTATTTGGCTTTTTCCTTTTGCCGATTCCGGTTACATCACCCGCCAAGCAGTCGATTCAAATAAATATTGCCCCAGCTCATCACTGCCCAGCACCGCAGACAGGGCTGCGGGAGGGGGGGGGGCGCGGGGCCAGCCTTCAGGCAGTGTCCCCATGGCAGGGACCGGGATGGTGACAGCCGAAGCGGTGTCCCCTTGGTGTCCCCCTGGTCCTCCGGGCCTTCCTGCAGAAACATTCCTGGTGCCCAGGCTGAGGAAGCGGGTGGCAGGGCAGGAGGACAGGGGGACAGGAGGACGGGAGGACAGGAGGACAGGAGAGCTGCTTCCTGCTGTGCAGCCGGGCCCCTTCTGCCCGTGCAGTAACAAGGAGCCAGTTTCACAGCTTGCACAAGGTTTTTGTTCTGAATCCTTCTCCCCTTAAACCATTATTTCCCAGCTAATTGTGCCCTCATTGTGCCATTGTGCCCTCAGACACAGGGGCCTTTTCCAGCCGTGTTGGAAGGTGACCCCGAGGTTTCCCCACTGCTGTCCCTTGCCCTGCTCCGGCTCTGGTCCCTGCTCCCAGCCGTGCCGGGAGTGCATGGCCCGACTCTATAAATCTCCTTTTGGCTGAAACCCCACTACAAAAAATCTGTGCCAAGAGCTAATTGGAAATAAAAAGGAGAATAATTCTGAAAAATCAGCTGAAGAGGGATATTTCTGGGTTAGGGGTATTTCCCGATTACATAAACCCAAACAAAATGAAACTCGCATATTAATGACTTCTAAGAGATAGACCCATGCATTTTGCAACACTGGAGAATGAATCTGACTCACTTTGTTACAAGAAGTGGCTTTGCCAGCTCATGCTGCTGGTATATCCAGCAACCAAGAGGGTGAGGACCGGGAGGTGCACTGCCAACTGTGCAGGTTGGGGCCGTGGTGGCACTTGGTGCCCATCGCTCACAGAGGATCCATCACACCCGCCCCAGGAAACCCTATTTTGTACTGGTGATGGCCCAGGGAGGTGTCCCGGGTGGAAAGGGACAAACCTGGGCCCTGGGCCAGCTTTGGGAGAGGGGCTGCTGCCAGCGAGGGGATGCACACAGAGCCGAGAGGAACCCGCAGCCCCTGGGAGAAGGCAGCGCCCGGGGGTCCCAGCCAGGGGAGCAGCAGGGAAGGTGGAGCACATTTTTCCAGTGGAAGCTGCTCTGTTTATAATGAGAAACTAGAGACTGGAAAAACATCGTGGAATCCATATTTGAGGCAATATTCATGAAACGGCAGCAAAAAATTGTGGCAATCCCTTTGGCAGCTCCGTGGGGGTTAGAGTTCCCTCAACTTCTTGTGTCTATTTTTACCACGGAGCGGCTCAGATGGTGAAGACATCAGCCGGCCGTGCTCGCCCTGGTGCATGGGAACAAGGAAATACCTCTCCACCGCTCCCAGAAGGGAAGGAAGAAAGCCCTTAGAAGTGAATACAGGGATCCACCCAGTGATCGGCCTGCAGGCACACGCCTTCATGCTTGCTCCCATGCCATGTCCGGAGTCACTGCGAGAGGCAGCGCAAGACCCAGGTCGGGGCAGTGCCTGCACAAAGGAGCTGGCTCTAGAGTAAAGAGGCTACGGGAGGGCAATGCAGCTCACTCGGGGTGTTGGTTTGGAGGATGTGCTGAAGACACTCAGCATCCACTTGTGCCTAAGTGGCCACACGCCACCAGCAGCAGCGTTCCCGTTGCGCCCCGGCAGCTGGCCGCTGCACCGGGTGCCTCTAGGAGCAGTTGGATCAGGGCGCCGGACACGGCTCGCTATTTATGAAACAAATACCTAGAGCCCTACTGCTTTGCTTTGCAGTTCAAGCCCTTGTAGCAAAATATTAGTTTTAGGCTTGCAGCTGACGCAGAGCTCTGCTGTCGGAGACTGCCTTATCGGCGGCTTGGTGCCTGCGGGCAGACACGGGCAGCACCCCCAGGGCCGCAGTGAACCACGAAGCTTTCCTCGTCGCACCTGCTAAGTGAGACGGAGCAGCAGTAAGAGCAAATATTTTGCAAGGAAAATACTAATTAGACACGTTCTGTAACCAACCGAAGTGCAGCATTTTCAGCCCCCTTGCCTTTCTTTTCTATTTTTTCCCCCCTTCTCTTCTCTTTCCTCCTGGCCATGCTCCTCCGCTTCCCCGGACGGATGACATGTTTATTGGCTGAGCTCCCAGCTACATGAGCTGTAGCTGGGAGCTTGCACAGCCTTATCAGTGTCAAAGCACAGAATAGAAGAGAAGCAATTTTATCGTTTGCTCTCTGCTATTTTTCTTCCTTCAGGGCTGCCCTTGCAATAGAAAAGTAACTAGTAAT